CTCATTTTTCTGTTTATGAGCTAATCTGAAAAAAAAACCACAATATTTCCACCTTTTCCAAAAAAAAAACAAGTAATTTTCCCCCCGTTTTTTAAACACATTTTTAAAAACTAGAAGTTTTAGCAACCCCAAGCCAGAAACAAGAGGTTTTGCATGCCAACATTGGATTTTGAAGAAGATGCATTCATGGTAGACATGATACCAGCAGATTTAAACACAGTTTTATTAGTATCATGTTTAATTAAAATCTCACCACCTCTAGCACCAACACCTAACACAACAGGAGGATGTCTAGAGTTATGAGCATAAGGATCAAAACCTAAACCACGGTTATTTGTGCTAACCTTTGATTGATCCAAAATCATATTGAGATTCTTTTTACCATAAGAAAATCTTAGCAAGGAATTTTTCAAATAAGAAACCTCCTTTTCCAAATTAGCACAATTTTCACAATCTACCATGGCACCTTTGCTTTTACGACATTTGGAGCAAGAAAGCACTTCATTGTTTTTCACAACATCTTCCATATACTCAACACGACCTAAAGCATCTTTTAGTTTCATCTTATTCAAATTACATGTTGAGCAATCCAAAACATCATGAGGTTGTTTTAACTTTTTAGCAGAAATCATGTTAAACATCAAACTAGCATGAAAAGCAATTTGATATTTTTGCAACAACTTTTTAGTTAAAAACAGCTCATCCAAAGTGCGTGTGTGCAAAGCAAAACTACAAGCAAGAGAAGATCTATTTTTCAAATCATGTGAAGCATTAACATCTCTAATTTTTGAAATCTCATTCATTAAAACCTCACAATTTTCACCATCATTATCATTAGGAATAAGAGATTTTAACCTATCAATTTCAGATTTAAGAGATTCAATGATAAATTCCTGTTTTTTATACATCTTCTCACACTTTCTATTTTTAGCACTCAAAATATTAATAGCTTCCTCAAAAGCACTCACCTCATTATCTTCATACTCTGTGTCAGATTCACCACGCGCCATGAAGCAAACATCGGAGACATTCTTTCCCTTATCATCATCTCCACTTTCACCATCTACATCACTTAGTGGCTCGAAAGCGGCGCAAACTTGTTGAAAAGCCTTCCTAAGATTCTCCATCTTCCTTCATTGGTTAGAACCCTTTGACATGTTGTAGTTGTTGGGCTTGTTATTGTTGGTCTTCTCACCATCTTTGTCTTCTCTTCTGCCTCTCCCAAGCTTAGGACAATGCGAACGAAGATGATCAATTGAACCACATTCAAAGCAACGATTTGGACCACCTCTTTTCCTGTTCCTGGCATTATTCATAGCTCGAGCAATTCGGTTAGCAATCAAAGCCAAATCCTCCTCCTCGATTTGTTCGAGTTGATCATCGGATGTGGCATTAAAAGCAGCAAGAAAAGAAGGCATAGAAGAAGAAGCATCAACAACCAAAGAAGAAGAAAAAGAAACCAAAGCACTCGATTTAGAATCAACTTTGCGAGAAAGAATATTCATCTCATGTGTTTTCAATTTGGTATAAAGTGAATCCAAAGTCAAAGTAGACATGTTAACAGGCTCCTGAATAGATGTAACTTTCATCTCTCAAATAGACATGTCGAGACCATTCAAAAAGTGACGAGAAATCTCAGATTGTGGATAATTAGCATCATAAGAAGAATCAACAGATCTAAGATCATTCAAAATTTTATTAAATCTAGAAAGATAGTCATCCAAAGCCTCTCCAGATTTCATCTCAAATTTAATGTACTCCTTTTTAAAAAGATCTCGACGAAGCTCTTTAATATTATTTGTTCCTTGATGAAAGTTTTTCAAAGCATTCCAAATCTCATGAGCAGTTTCAAGATGTGCAACACGATCATAATCAGAACGAGAAATCCCACTCAAAAGAATATTACGAGCTTTGCAATTGTTTTCAAATTCAGTTTTTAAAGCATCAGTATTAATAGCTTCAGGAATCACATAAGGATGAGAAACTTTCCTCCAAATATCATAATTTTCAGCCATAATGTAAGATTGCATCTTACTACACCAATGAGGAAAATCAGTTCCATCGAAAATATGAGGCTTAGTTGAAAACCTAGCGGGAGTAGCCATGGCAAAAACTTTAGATCGATAAAAATCCAAAGAAGAAAACGAGGCTCTGATACCACTTGTAGGATCGTAAAGGGCCTTTCCCACCCCAAAAGCTAACCATTGAGGTGAGGGGCTCCCCACTTATATCTTAGGTCATTTGCCCTTCCACAACCAATGTGGGACTATTCAACAGCTAGCTTTTTTATTCATATCAGTATATATAGGAAGTAGTAGTACGGATTAATAATCAGCAAGAATATAACCTAATTAATCAACCCTCGGCTCACCTAGGGTGGCAACATAAGGTGCGCGTATTATGGAGCGGCATCCATCATCACTAAGTTTGCCATCACCTCTTCATCCAAAGTGACATTTGCAGTCGTAATCACCGTCCGTATCATGACATGTGCTATGAGCGTAACAAGGGTAGACTTCCTTGTACTTGGCAGGCTCCGCTCTTCTAAGCTCGCACTCATTAATATCTGCACGCGCGCGCGCGCACACACACATCATATAGTGATTGAAATAAATAATAAACAAATACTCCCTCCATATTTTAATGTATGACGCCGTTGACTTTTGCACCAACGTTTGACCAATTGTTTCATTCAAAATTTTTGTGTAAATATGAAAATATAAATGTCATGCTCAAAAAAACATTTGATGACGAATCAAGTCATAATAAAATAAATAATAATTACATAAATTTTTTGAATAAGACAAATGGTCAAACGTTGGACAAAAAATCAACGGCGTCATACATTAAAATATGGAGGTAGTATATAATCCACCACAGCTAGTTAATGTAAGAACTAATAGCCCATGCTGAAGAAGAAAACTTAAGAGAACTAACATAGGGATTGCCGGCGTACCCTTCGGAACAGTTGCAGAGGTACCCCTCGCCGTTGGTAGCGTTTACACAGTAGCTATGGGCGCTGACACAGGCAGGAGCCCCTGTTGGTGATGAGCACGATCCATTTCCCCTGATGGCCCAGTCAAGCACTGTTGGGACACTTGTATCTCCAGTACGGTTGACGAAGCTCTTGCTGATCCCCTGCCTCCAGCGAGATGTCCTTGATCTCTACGTCCCCCGAGTACGGCCTGGCCGGAGGGTAAAGCTATGGTTGCAAGAGACGTGGAAGCCCGGCCAGGCGCAGTCGACGCCGATGCCGGACGGGTAGGGGATGCGCACGTCGCCACACTTCCTGACGCAGTTCACTGCTCATGCGGCCCCCATCCCCCTCTTCGCTCCGGCCAGCTGCAAGTCGCCGCCAAGATCCAGAACCTGATCCTCAACGCGGCGCGCTCGCCGGAGTCAGCAACCCCAAGATGCATGCTCTGGATTGATCTACTTCGAATGAAAGCCGTTTGATTTGTCGCCATTATTTGTGCTGGCAGCTAGCTTGTATCAAGCTAATGGGCCACTATGAATTAGCTTTGCCAATGCTGCCGTTGCACCATCTTTGATTGTGAGAGCCAATTCCTCTATTGGAAGAACATGCCCATGTTAGCCATCAGGACCTGGCGCCTTCTCGTTGGGCATCCCCTTGATCACCTTCGACACCACAACTCCTCAGAGAACAGGATCTCAAGCTATATTACAGCTCCACCGGAGGTGGTAGGACCTGCGCCGTGTCCTGCTCCGCCCTTCCCATAATGCTTTCAAAATAGTTTTTGGCCATAACTAGCTTGTCCTCTTGTATCGTGGCTATCTGTCCCTCATGTTCCAGTGACGGGATGAAAAGTTTGCGGCGGCGGCGTGCATTCACCTTCATGTGAAAGTATTTGGTATATATTGGCATCACCTTGTCGGAGTTGGGTGATACGAACTCTCTGGCGCACTCATATTCTATCGAGGGATGCTGGTGCCAGCACCCGCCCCTTCAAAACTGCTCTGAAACGCCACTCTATACAAAATTCGCAATTCCTGTGCCACATCCAACGTGAAAATCAACTCATTTGCAATCCGAAGCTGAAGGCTGTACTCACAATGTTAATGTTTCACAATGTATAGACTTAATGTTGCAGTGAATTGAAACATTATTTTGAAACAACCTACATATTTTAGAAAGCATCTATTAAGAGTATTCGTTTCATCTTTTGTTCCACAAAAAATGTTTCACTATATATAGATCTAATGTTGAAATAAACGAAACATTCTTTTGCAACAAATCACCCACATATTTTGGAAACCCTCTATTAAAGGAGTTCGTTTCATTTTTTGTTCCACAAAAAATATTTCACCTAGTATATTCAAAATGTTAACTGAAATATTCTTTAGCTATTTGCTGAAACATTGTTTTTATATAAGGTGAAACAACGTTCGATTTAAACGATTGAAACATTTTCAATCTATTTAGAGAAACAATTCCGATATACTTGGTGGAACATCATGCAACATTTAAAAATAATTCAATAATAAGCTAAAAAAATTTAATCGGAATATATCTATGTGTGGTCTTGTTTTGAAGATTTAATTGTAACGAATTTAATTAGTGGTGCAATTGGATCATGATTTGGATTAATAATTTAAAAGAAAATTTAGTTTAAAGTGGTTTTGCACGCATGCGCGGCGCTGACGTCATGCTGACATCAGCGCCCGATTTTTTGCACGTCTGGATCGGGCGCTCGATTAGTAGTCCCCTCCCTGTAATGATTGATTCTCTTCTAGCCCCAGGAACTCAATTTCCTTGCGAGCCGTGCTATCTTGACATAGAGCGTGACATAAGGATCAAAGCTTTCTTATAAAAAAAAGAAAGATTTAGTTCAATTCCTATAAAAAAGATCCAGTTCAATTTAATATAGCTTACAAAGTTTAGACTTCAAACATGTTGGAAGCAAAACCTTAAATGTCATTATTATGTCAAGCCTTAAACAACGCAACTAGTTGCATAAATATTTTTTTTGAAACCCATCAGGCCGTTGCCAACGCTTTATATAAAGAAGAAAATGTCTGATTTTAAGGAAAAAAGAGACCAAACCTTACAATACACAGTTAATTAAGAGAAACTGGGCGAAAAGCACAACCACAACACTCTAACCTAAGATACCATAAATCTTACATTGCAACTTTATTCTATTGTACAATACAGAGTATACCAGAATATATAACAAATTAACATTACACACAATCACATTCACAGGAAGGCAACATAGATCATGCTGTAGCTTCACAGATTGAACAAGGCAAACTGAGGCGTCGTAGGAGGAAATTCTGATCATAAACGTGATAACAACTCTTATATGCTTATCTCTGTATCCATTAATTTGTTTCTCACCAAATTAAGGTGCTCCAAAACTTGCTTCATGGTGGGCCTCTCTTCCACATCATCCTTGAGGGATTGAACTGCAATCTTACCAATCATGTCAAGACAGTCAATGTTGACTTCAGGAGACTTGATCTCATCATCGAACATCTCCCTTGCCCTGCTATCAGTCATGTAATACTTCACAAAGTTTATTGGGAGGCTGTTATTTTCATCATATCTTGGTTTTTTCCTGGTAATTAGTTCCAAGAGTACAACTCCAAAGCTATACACATCACTCTTCTCAGTAAGCATTCCAGTCTTCATATAAACAGGATCCATATAGTTCATATCCCCTATGACAAATGAAGTGTGGTGTTTCTGTATAGATATGAGTCTAGATATTCCAAAGTCCGAGACCTTTGGCATGAAGTTGTTATCTAGGAGAATGTTGCCAGACTTCACATCTCCATGAAGGACAATATTTTGATTAGCCGATGAGTGCATGTAGGCTAGAGCATCTGCAGATTCAATAGCAATTGCTAAACGTGCTTGTAGTGAGAGAGGTTGCTTTTCAATATTGATCTTCTTGTTACCATGAAGCACATCTTGAAGGCTTCCTTTTGGGACGTACTCGAAGACCAGCATCGGAATCTTTGTCTCCAAACAACAGCCCACAAGTCTAACTATGTTCTTGTGACTGATATAAGATTGAATGACGACCTCATTTGCAAAATCTTCTCTACGTACCTCATCAAACGTATTGGGGCGCTTCACTGCAACATGTTGGTTGTTGTCAATAGTTCCCCTATAGACCTTACCGAAGGCACCGTTTCCAAGGAAAGTGCCATAGCGATCTGTGATTTTGCTTATTTCCTTCTTCGTGAATGTCTTTATACCAATGTTTTTCAGAAGTTCACCACCATTTTTTTTGAAAGTATCTTCAAGCTTCTTCTTCTCATGTTCCATGCGCAAGAAAATGAGTACGATGGACAAAATTGCGACGGCACATATTATTGCTGAAATCAAATGTTGTGTGATTAATTATTATTTTATTTAGTTAAGAATTTACAAACCATATGCATGACTTACAAATTGCTATATGTAAAAGCGTTTTTTTAAAAAAATATATATCAATATGTATGTAAGAAGAGTATGTGCCTTACCGATCACCACTATATCCGATTTGGAGAGTATTTGTTTACAAATATTGTCATCGTTTTTATCTTTTACTCGATTGAAACCGCATTTACACTTGTAACCACCTTCGAGGTCATAACATGTCCCATCACGGCATGGATTTTGCTTGCATTCGTTAATATCTGTACGTGAAGAGAAAAAATTATAGAGTGATCATTAATACAAGCTATATTATTCCCCGAAAAAATTCAAGCTATATTATACTCGCTCCATTTTCTAATGCTGGATGTCGTTGATATTTTAACATACATTGATCATTCGACTTAATAAAAGAAGTTTGTCCAAATATTAAAAACCAATTCATGCTTAAATTAGTTTGCTAATAAAAAATGCAATTAAATAAATGATAAGTATGCAACTCTTTCGAATAAGACGTATGATAATTCAAAAGTGACAAGTGTCACACAATAAAAAACAGTGAGTATTATATATTCACGCGGTGATCAGAGAGATAATTGTGTATCTTTGTAAATGAAAATTGGAGAAACTGCCAAAAAGAAAGGACTTAATTAGCACCATAATATGTGTGTCTATATATGTGTGTGTATACGTATATGTATTAACAGTAAACCTTGTGAAGATATTTGCAAAGTTTATAAGAAGTAATATATAGATTAGTATTGCCATCGACTAGCTAGGTGGGACGAAATTATAAGAGTAAATTACACCTATGGTACAAGTTGACTAGTGGGCGCGATTTAGTATAAGAACTTGAGAATGTGATGTCTAAGTGCAATAACTTGGTAAGTGAGTGTACTTTAATACAAGAATTTCATAATTTAGTATTTTGGTGCAATAACTTGGCTAGATATGTACTATTTTGGTTAATGAGTGCTATGAAAGTTCACTATGTTAATATATCATCACATAGCAATCTCGTAGATATAATCTTACAATGTTTGATGTAATATGTAAGAAAATATAGCTCACCTAATTTGCAGCATCCATTTAGATATTTTTTTCACCATATCAAATACCAACTAAAAAATTTCTACACTGTAAAATTTGTTTGACTTTTAGTTACCAGAGTTAAAAAAAATATGCTTGTACAAATCTACGTAAGTATATTAACAACTGAGTACATAAAAACTGAGTACATATAGCCAAAAATACTCAAAATAATTAAGTTTTTACACCACTTCTCAAGTTATTGTACTAAAATATTACAACCACCTTTGTTGTACCCCTAAGCTTATTTATTAAATTTTTGTACTAGGTTGCACCTACTTAGCAAGTTGTTGTCCTAACAAGCTCATTTCTCAAGTTTCTACACTAAATCACACCAACTTGCCAAGTTGATGTACCGTGAATACAGTTTACTCAAATTATAATGGTAAAAATAAGGGTCCCTTTGATTTGTTGGAAAAGTGTAGGAAATTTAAAGGATTTTAATTCTATGGAAAAAATTCCTATGAAAGCATTTGAAACGAAGGATTGAATCCTATACTATCCTTTAAAATTCCTATGGAATGACTAATCCTATAGAGATTTTAGAGGAAAGTTAGCAAGAGGTCCAACCTTTTGAAAAAATTCCTTTGAGTCTATCTCTTTCATCCGATTCCCCCGTTTTTCCTATGGTCCAATCAAACGGGTATTTCTGTGTTTTTCCTAAATTTTCAATCCTTGGTTTTACACCTGCATTCCTGTCAGAAGTTTTTCCTATTCCTGCGTTTTTCTATTCCTGCGATTCAAGGGGGCCTAAATTTAGAACTTACTTATGCATCCGCCGATGACATAGGGATTGCCGGCGTATCCCGTGGAACAATTGCAGAGGTACCCCTCTCCGTTGGTGACGTTGGCGCACTCACTATGTGCGCTGATACAAGCAGGAGCAACCTCTCCTGCAGTTGACGGGCACGACCCATTTCCCCTGATGGCCCAGTCAAGTACAGTTGGGACACTTTTGGCTCCATCACTCTCGACAAATAAGCCCTTGCTGCCAGCACGACCGAAATCTTGCCGGCTGAAATTGTACCTAAATCATGTACATATATATAATGCATCAGTAAAATATAATTAACCCAGGCTGCGTTTAGTTCACGTTAAAATTAAAATTTTGGTTGAAATTGGAACGATGTGACGGAAAAGTTAGAAGTTTGTATATGTAGGAAAGTTTTGATGTGATGGAAAAGTTGAAAGTTTGAAGAAAAACTTTGAAACTAAACACGGCACCAGTCCATGTCGGAAGAGAGAGAGAGAGTAGTTTGTAATTGCATTTTTATTACTCCCTCCATCCCTAAATGTTTGACGTCGTTGACTTTTTTAAATTTGTTTGACCGTTCGTCTTATTAAAAAAAAATTTAAGCAATTATTAATTCTTTTCCTATCATTTGATTCATTGATAAATATACTTTTATGTATATATATATATTACATATTTCACAAAAGCTTTAAATAAGACGGACGGTTAAAAATGTTTAAAAAAGTCAATGGCGTTAAACATTTAAGGAATGAGGGAGAAAGAGCTAGCTGCGCAGCTGTACAGACGTACAGTGGGCACGCATTAGTTGGTACGTACCAGCCTTTCTCGGACACGAATGCGTAGCTACACGGGCTCTCTCTCCAAGCAGGGTTGCCGATCATGCTTCCGGAGCCGAAGGAAAAGTTTAAGACGCTAAGGTTGGGTGGGATGGAGGGCACCTGGCAGCAACCCAGCCCCGTGCAGTCGTCACCGTCGTGGGCGGCCTCCTCCAAGCTCGCGCACGTCGTGATGCAGCCGGTCGAGTAGCTCGCATCGTCCCTGCCCCGTAGAAACGCAATCGCGCCACAGCCGATGGCCGTGAACTCGTTCCTGCTCCGCGCAAACAGGAACGGCGTACCGAGGTCGACCTGCGAGGAGGTCGTTACGTATTCGGTGGTATTGTACGAAGTATAGCAGTTGGACACGACGTCAGTGTACACGCGCATCTCCCCTGCCTCCACCGAGATGTCCTTGATCTCTATGTTGTACAAGTAGGGTCTGGGAGGGGTAAAGCTATGGTTGCAAGAGACGTGGAAGCCCGGCCAGGCGCAGTCGACGCCGATGCCGAACGGGTAGGGGATGCGAACGTCGCCACACTTCCTGCCGCAGTTCGCCGCCGTCGACGACGTAGCCACCAGCACAGAAGAAACTAGTAGCAGTGGCCCCACGGCTGCAGCCAGAGCATGGAGGTCATACCACAGCATCACTCCTTGTGCCATGGCCGCTAGCTATGGTGTTGCTTGAATGTGCGAGATTTGCATTTGCCATGCATCTCTTTATATACTACTACTGTTGTTGATGTTTGATGGGTGACTAATCAATAATACTAGTCGCTAACACGTGGCGTTGCACGGGCTATAGTTATTAACAATATAAATATTAAAAATGTAATCATGTCATGAATATGTTGGTAATCAAATTTTGTTGAAAGTTATACGTTTTCAAGTTGGAGTCTTGAAAAGTACATAATTATACATGCTTTATACTTTCAATTGTAAAGAAACTTATGATTTCATAATTTCAAAATTCGTAAATAAAATATGAAATTGTGCTCAGCCTAGAGCCACGGTTATAGATTGTTCATGATTTCATCATTTATAAATTTAGAAATAATACTTTTTGAAGTCCCAATTATAACCTTTATGATTTAATAATTATGGAAATTGGTAAATAATACATTTTATTTGTACATGGTTTGGAGTTCACATAAGTTACAACTTGCTAATTATGAATTTAAAAATGCAATTAAATTAACAAATTTCTAAATTGAGAGTCAAGAAAGGTGAAACTCTGTTTCTATGATGTCTGATTTCAGTTATTAATTTTGAAAAAATAAAACTAAAGAGCCCCTGTTACTTTTTGTGCCATAGTTTAATTTACACGCACTGGTGGAGAAACCATCTTTGGGTCGGTCAATCAAATTCCACAATAGTTCCGGTTTTATTAAAAACCGGGATTAAAAACGATTTTTAGTCCCGGTTAAAAAAATTTTGATCTTTAGTCCCGGTTCATCCCCTGTCAGAGACATGTTGGGGGGCCAAGAATCTTTAGTCCCGGTTGATACTACCAACCGGGACTAAAGATTACCACTTTAGTCCCAGTTGGTAGTACCAACCGGGAGTAAAGATTTCAACATAGTATATAATCCCTAATCCTTATCCTCTCCTCCAGGATCACAACCACTTCCTCACCCACAGATCGATCCTCCTCTCTTCTCCCCCTCCCCTTCCTCCTTCATTCCCCCTTCCCTTCCTCCTCCCTCCCCTGGAGACGGATGAGGCCGCTCCTCCTTCCTTCCCCTTCCCTTCCTCCTCCCTCCCCTGGAGACGGATGAGGCCGCTACTCCTTCCTTCCCCTTCCCTTCCTCCTCCCTCCCTTGGAGACGGATGAGGCCGCGCCGCGCGGACACGGAGGACAGACGGACGCACAGGCCTGCGGCGCAAACGGCCGTCTCTTTTTTTTTTTGAAAATTTGGTGATTCATTGAGATGTAATTTTGTGATTCATTGTATGGATTTGAGACATATAATCTGTGATGTATTTGATTTGTGTGTAAATTTTTTAGGATTTGTGATGTTTTAGATTTGTGTGCATAAGTAACTTTAAGATTTGTGATGTGGATTTGGGATTTGTGATGTGGATTTGAGATGTTACTTTATTTGGGGATTGATTTGGGATGTGCATGCCATCCGATTCGGGAGAAAATTAAAAAGTAACAAAAAAGGAAAAGGGACCATCCGGGATTGTCCCTATCCAACACCGGACCGGGACTAAATTTAAGATCCCTCTCTTTAAGTCTAAAAGATAGATCTTTACTCCCGGTTATTTCGCCCGGGATTAAAGATCGCTATCTTTAGTCCCGGATTCGTAGTCCCGGTTAGGAAACCGGGACTATAGGGGGCTTACAAACCGGGAGTAAATCGCCCGGGACTAAAGATCGCTATCTTTAGTCCCGGATTCGTAGTCCCGGTTAGAAAACTGGGACTATAGGGGGCTTACAAACCGAGAGTAAAGACAATTTCTCCACGAGTAACGAATTCTAATAGATCGAATATCATAGCAATGCAAACCACCTAATCAACGGTGGTAAGATCTTTCTATCTAATGTGCAAGTGTCCCAGAAGTGCGCAATAAATCCTGGTTTTAACACCAATTATTGATTGATCAATGGTCATGGTAATACGATCGACCTAATAAACTACGTACAGATCTTTTAGTTAACGTTTATAGTAAATGTGAGAGCTCTCTGGGAATACCCATAAATACCAACATTATTTGCAAGGGGAATATTTATACCGACCTTTTATTAATATGTATCATGTCTGTTGGCATTTATCCCAACATCCCAAATTCTGATTATCCTGACCTTGACTTTGGACGCTTCCTTCGCATTGTCAACGTCTTGAACCATTTCATTGGTAAAAGGAAATAAGCTGCAGACTATATGATGTGCATACGAACATACAGACTGGAATATGGAAAATTAATTAAATATTATATTTGCTAGTTTGTATTTAGATTTAGAGAAAAGTCATAGATAAGGGTCTATGATCTGTCGACTGACCTGATTACCGGATTATTAGCACAGCTCATCAATATGTTAAAGATCAACAGCTATTTCTTCATTTCAGTCAAAACTAGCATGGTGGCCCGCGCAGATTGCACGGCTAGAATCATTATATTTTCTCTCATATAATAGCATATATGTTTTCTCATTATATTATTCAAATATATTAAAATGAAAACATAATTTTAAATTTTGCAATAACTTTATAAAGCTGCTAATGTGTAATATTCATATTGTATTTTATATACGTGTTAGTTATTAATTATTTTTAATATCAAATTTTAGTTATTTGTAAATTATATATATTCCTATATGGACTCTACACTCGTCTTTTAATATTTCTTTTTTTTTAATTCTGAATTTTCAGTAAAATGTATTTCTATATAGACTCTATGCTCTTCTTCTAATATTATTTATTTTTATTTCTGAATTTTTATTATTTCTAATTGTATTTCTATGTGGACTCTAAACTTATCTTTCAATATTCTTTAATTTTTAGTTTTGAATTTCAGTTACTTCTAAATTGTATTCCTATATTGACTTTAAGCTCTTCTTCCCATGTTTTTCTTAATTTCGAATTTTAGTTATTTGTAAATTGTATTTTTATACGGACTGTAAATTCTACTTTTAATTTTATTATGTTTATTTCAAATTTTAGTTAGTTTTAAATTCCTATATGCACTCTATACTCTACTTCTAATATTTCTTATTTTTTTAATTCCGAATTTCTTTTTTTTCTTAATTGTATTTCTATATGGACTTTATACTCTACTTCTAATATTCCTTATTTTTAATTCCAAATTTCAATCATTTTCTAAGTGTATTTCTATATGGACTCTATACTCTACTTCTAATATTCCTTATTTTTAATTCCGAATTTCAGTTATTTCCTAATTGTATTTCTATATGGACTCTATAATCTACTTCTAATATTCCTTATTTCTAATTCCGAATTTCAGATATTTCCTAACCGTATTTCTATATGGACTCTAGTCTCCCTTTATAATATTCCTTATTTTTTAATTTCGAATTTCAACTATTTTTAAATTGTATTTATATATGCACTCTAGTCTCCTCTTCTAATATTCCTTATTCTTTAATTCCGAATTTCAGCTATTTCTAAATTGTATTTATATATGGACTCCGCTTTTTCTTTTTCTCCGATTAATGTGAGAATTTCTAGGCCATGAGAGCAAACATGGAGGCTCTTTTTTCTATTCCTTTAATAATATAAAAGATAGATAGATCAGGTTTTTTTTTCTGTTTTTTCTTGCTGACCGTTTTGGCTTTTTTTTTACCTTTTTTTATGGGTTTTTTTTTTTACCTAGTAATTCATCACTCAAAAGTCCAGACAAATCAAAAATCGAGAAAATCTTAAATAGATCGCTGAGGAGATAGATCACACAGAAGATGCAAGTTCGATAGTACCTATGTAAATTGGGGAACGGCGGCAGATGTGCTCGATTTTTGGATCGGCATCTGGAACTCCTAAAACTTCTTGGGTTGAATGATGATGTTTAAGATGAGCCTGAATCAATATTGATGAAAAATCAATCTGTCCAAGGTTGAGGTAAAATAGTACCCGGGTTGATTTGAGATTGCAAATTCACCGATCACATTGAGTATCCCGTGGTTGCCAGTCCTCTGTCCCACATCTCTATCATTAATTTCTATAGGAGAGATGAGGCCGATCTGTATCTCTCGATTACTGCTGATATATGTTGTATAGAGAAAAAAAAACAGATGGGCTGAAAGAGCCCACGAAATTAATTAGAAGGCAAATTAGCTCACCACATTAGATTTGTACGTACGGCCATGATAATAAATTGATTTGATGAACGATTAGATTTCTCCGGTTAATGTGGAAGCTCATAGAAAGTGCCTAATTAGTATAGTTATAGATATAGAGATATAGATAGATAGATATATACCTACCTCGTATTTTGATCCTACGTATGTACGGTACTACGAATTCGGATATGAGTAACATGAAATAAATGCTGATATATATTCTCCCCCATAATATTATATATGCATATAAATGTCATTATAATTAACTCAGTCTAGAATTGTTGTGTAGAAGTAATATGTGTTTAGGGGCACATGGAAATAGCATAGCCAAATTTCTACTATCTCCGGTTCCATAATTCTCATTTTGTTCGATAAGGTTAGAGTCAAACAATTAAAACTTTGTCTATCAATAATTTTAAAAAATGTTTTGTACAAACACACTAGAACATGACGTATCGATTAGTCTCAAAAAATATTTTAATGAAATTAATAATTATGTTTTGTATATCTATTATATAGTAAAAGTATATTAAACTTCCTGCAAACGTTCCCAAGCTGCCACGTGGTAGGCATACAAACACTTCTAAACCGTCATGTAACGTTATAATAAATTAGAAAAAAAACCTATAAATTCTGAAACAACAATTTCTACTTGAATCGATGGCCTATTATTTTACTCATTGGATAAGAAACATAAAAAGTATGCATCACTACTGCATAATTAGTTTTTCTAACAAAACCCCCTTTAGATTGCAAGCAGGCTATAACTACTCTACTCTGCAATAATCGCTTCCCTGTGATCGGTTCATGGGCCTGTTAAGTGACCCACATGCGAGCTTCACTCTCCTACACCGGCATCTCTCCCTCTTTTATCCCCACTCCTTTTT